CGGATCTCTAGGAAGCGGTCGGTTTTCTAGGAGCTGGAACTAGGAGCACAAAAAGCCCGAAATATTCGTTCGCCGGGCTTTTATACTGGTTTGTTGCTCCCGCTCGTATTGTTCCGGAATCATTCGGTGATTCTCGGCGTGGAACAATACGAGCGAGAGCTGCAGCGCTCGGCATCGTTCGGCGACGCTCGGGTTTCGTTTGACGAAGTCTCGCGGCCTGTAATTATGCTTTTGTTCTTAAAAATATGTCGAGCGCACCGCGCTCTCATCGCATACGGTGACCGGGGGTCACCGTAGCGGCATCTGACGAGTTGTTGTAGCCAGGAACGATGCACTTATGGGGATGCATCGTTACAAGATTAGTTTGCGAACGATTTTTAACGTATCGATACGCACATCGCCTATTCCTACAATGGCTACGTTCGGAAACGTCGCTCGGATGCCTCGGATTTATCATCTGTCCTTGTTTAACATTAAATGTTAAACGTTCCCGAACGCAGCCAATATTGACATTCGAATATTGGCGGGAATTGCTGAAAAATGACGAACCAATCAAAATTGGCTGTTCTCGTGTAGCGACTCTGATTAGGTCTCTAGGTCAACGAAAGGTCCATAAGAGTAATCTAGCCCTGCTACTGATGTATATGAAAGTACTGTCAATAGGCTTAAGGGTGTGATCTACTTAACGCTGCAAATACTTTGTTGACCAATCAGAATAAAGAATTTTACGAATTGACCAATCAAAGAATCCTTCAAAGCATTTGCAGCATGAAGTGGATCGCACCCTTAATAATCTGTATGTAACATTTGATCGGATGCAAAGAACACAATTTTTTATCGCATTAAGGCTCCTGACTACTCAGCCAAGAACTCTGCGTTGACGGTGGCGACACAGTATCAGACGGCGGTCTGGCAAAATCGGTAGCCACATACTTAAGCACGAACCTATGTCCGTGTGCTCGCCTGCGAGCACACGGACATGGGATCGTGCTTGCATGTGTGTTACAGCG